CTAGGTAGGAAAAATAAAGTACGAATTCCTCTTTCGGTTATAGTCAGTGTTCAAACAATCGTGCGTTAAGAATCTCACCTACGAACAGGCGATTTAAATATCAAGTTATAAGCTTCTAGCTTTATTCTACCTTTTTGTAGTTTACATATATACATAATCCAATCGCAAGCCCTTCGCATCATCCTTTCATCGCTGCACCAAGTCATAATACGCTAAACTCAGACCCATAAGACCAAAAAACAATGGAAAATAGAAAAAAGAAACAAAACTTCATAATCAAACTTACGGTCTTTACAATTTCTATCACCCTGTATCCCACCAATTCGTTTCGTCATCGTGCAAAGCGGAAGGAAGCAGTCACGAGTGAGGTGCTTTCTTGTTCCGCTTCTTCTGATACTTATCCCACGCGGTACACATATCCTTGTGCAGCTGACTGGGCTTCTCCATATGCTCGACACTCTCCAAAAACTGGATGCCGAAGCCCATATCCTGATGCCAAATAATATGACTACCGAGAAAAATCATCAGCCTGTCCATCCCATCTACAACACGAAAAAGAAACTCACCAATGCATTAACCACGCGCCCGGATTATCCGGCTGAAACGCAATCAACATCTTCCCCCCCTGCTCCAACGTCGCGGTATCCCGTCTCGGGGGATTCCTATTCTCGGCCCCCTCGCCCTCATCAAGAATAAGAAAATCATGGCCATGCAGATGGATCGGATGCGCGATATCAACCCCGGACTCAATCTTGACGAACACCCACGGCGTCTCATACCCGCACTCATAAATATTAGCATTGAGACTACCGTTTCCGGGGGTGAAGACGGTCGGGTTGGACGGGTCGAGCGAGAGCGGGGATTTATTGATTGTCCATTGGAAGAGCCCGTTGTGGTCTTTTTGGAGATCGGTTGTGAGGGTGGTGAGGTTTTGGGGGACCGGGGGTGGGGTTTTGGGGACGATGGGAAGGAGGGAGGAGGAGGGAGGGTCGGCACAGAAGTCGCTGGTGTTGAAGGGTTTGGAGGTTGGGTTGAGGGGGGGGGGAGGAACCGGGGTGCTGGCGTTGAGGTTGCTGCGGGGGGTGAGAAGAGGGGATAGGGGGTTGAAGAGGGAGGAGAAGGGGGAGCGAGGGGAGATGCGGTGGCCGGAGAAACCGCGGCGGGTGCTGTCGGCGAGACGAAATATCGCTTTGATGTCGTTGGGGTTGGATTGGAAGCTACAGGAGTCTTGGGATACGGCGCGGAACCAGTAAGAGGGTTGGCGGCCGGTTGCGTGGATGACGACGTCGTAGCGTTGGCCTGGGTGGAGAATCAGATCAGTTTCTGGTTTCTTTGGAAAGACGGTAAGAATACCAATTGCCATATCAAGCCATTCAACCTCAAACGGCTTCACCGGAACAAAATCCGCAGCAATAACCCACATCTTGTGTCCATCCAAACTGACTTTCATGTGGTTATCCACACTGGCATTCACCAGTCTCAATCTATATTTCTTCCCTCGTTGTAAAGTTGTCTCCCATCTCTCTCCGTCACTCTTACACTCCTTCTTATCTCTCTGTTGCTTCGGACATGTGTTTTTCCCATTGATGAGACCGTTGGGAGAGTATGGAAGCCCCGTTTTTTTGGATTGATGCCACCGGTGGAAGACCGTGTCGATTGATTCGTGTTGCCAGTCGTGAATCATGATGGGTCCGAGGTCATGATCGTATTGTGCGGAGGCAGGACCGTTAATGACAACCGGGCCAAATGCACCGTCACCATATTGAAGACCAAAATGGGAATGGTACCTGTGGATGGGTAAGTTAATTAGTTTGTTTACTAGAAAGGGGAAAAAGGAGGGGAGAGGCGATTCGTACCATGAGGTACCGTATTGCGTCGCTTGATATTCATACACTGTTGTAGCTCCAGGGGCGACAGGACACTCAGTGACACCGCTGACTCCATCATGAAGATTCTTCCGGTACATTCTTTGTCCGTGCCAGTGAATCCCAGTGCCGTTATTCTGGAGGTGGTTGGTCAAATGTACGCGGATCGTGTCGCCCCAGTCTTGTTGCCGGTATCAGCAAACATGATCAAAGGCATGTCGGTGGTGTGGATGCTACTCACCGGCTACGATGGCGGGCCCTGGTACTGTCCCATTGAATGCCAGAATGTTCTTTCGTTCAAAGCCGTCTGGCGCTAGTGTGACATTTTGAATGTTCAACCAGTACTAAGGAAGGCATGGTCAGTTACGGGACAGCCTCATCTTGACTAACAGGAACTGTATAAGTACATACCTCTCTCAAAACACCTGTGTTAGGCCAATGGTCATGGTAATCTGTGTTAATATCGAACCCCTCTTTCCACGCTTTCCTATCAACGATCACACCACCTGACGCCGCCACGGCAGCCAGCAACAGACCGACCCAAATCTCCCACACAATTCTTGTGGTAAACATCTGAGGAATAAAACAATGGTATCAAGCAACAAAGAAGAGCCAAGGGAATTAGTTATACAGTCGGAGTTGTCTCTCCATGGTGGCAGCGGAGCGGGACAGGCATAAGTACCGTCCCGGGGCGGGTATGAGGTAGAACATGATGAAGTGACAGCGGAGGAGGTGCGGTCGGAATGAGTGGGATGCCAACGCTATGATGCCATATCAGAGTTTCGCAGGTCTGAGCTCAGACTGAGCTCCAACGGTGGCCATTTTCAGAAGCTACCCATCATTGTGTGATGTAATAAACAACTCAGAGCTGGCTCCCATCTAGAGATGCGATCGGAGATGTTGGCGACGGAGCAAGGGGTAAAGGTACAGCCACACTCAAAGATGGGGGAAAGTAGCGTGTCTGGGTGATCATCAAGGGGTAACTGAGTCTGTGCGAGATGGAATCTCCGTGGAAGTGGCAATGACGGTTGTTGGTAAGCAACGCGTAACAGTCGGAGATGTGATGTCAAGTCACCGCAGAAAGAACGTTCGGGTAGACGAGTCATATCTTGGGGGGTTTTCGGAATGCGAATTAATGCAATTACTTTTGCTCAGTGATATAGATGTATCTGACGGCCTCTGCCAGTGACAGTAGTGACAAATGCTGACAGTAGTAACCAATGCTTCGACTATGGATGGTTTCCCAAACTTTGATCCCAGCCCCTTCAAACCATGTTTACATGATGACTTCGTTGGACACATCCTACTCAAGTAAGTATTGACTCTTTATCTAAGGCTGATCAAAGGACAACGCACCTTCTTCAATTCCTTGAATGGTAGGCAGACGCAGTTCCATACCCGCACCTCATCCCCAACCTTGCACTCCCGACTCAGAATACTTACGCTCTGTACCTTAACTCCATTCTTTACCACAGTTGTTGAATGCTCGCTTGTGCTTTGCGGGGTTCCCTCAACTCTGCTCCATGCGCCAACCTTGCTCTGCCAGCCGATAATACTGTAGAGCACACAGGCATCATGCTTAATCTCCGCGTCCTCAAGCACGATACTTTCTTTCACTCTCGCGCCAGGACCAATGATAACTCCAGGTCCGATGCTCACGTTCGGGCCAAGCTTCGCTGTTGGGTCCACAGTGGCAGTGGGGTGGATGAACACAGGTGGGATAATGTTGGCACTTGGCTTTGCGAGATGCTCTTCGGAGTCATTCTGCATGGCCTTTTGAAGGTAAAGAGCATTGGCAGGCACGGCAGATGCCGCCGTCTTCACCTGCCGCCAAAAGTCGCGAGTCTCGTAGACAAAGAAGCGGCGAGAGTCTGAAAGAGGGCCAAGAATATCCTGCTCGAGACGAAGAACGGAGGAACTATCGCCGTCGTTAGGATCAAGGGTAGGATCAGAGGCCAATCGTTCGGCTTTCGATTCCATGGCAGTACGGATCAAGGAGAAAAGTGTGGTGGAGAAGAGGTAGACACCGCAATTGATGAGATTGGAGATGTGGGATTCCGGCTTTTCGACGTAATGGCGGACCTGAGAAGTAGAGGGGTCGACAACAATGCCTAAAGACGTCCGCAATGTTTAGAGTCCCCATCAAGAGAAACAAGGTCGGTGGAGGGACTCACATCCGAACTTGCTTGCAGCATCTGTCGGGACTCTGGTTCCCAGCAACACAGCCTCCGCCTCCTTCTCTTCAAACACCTCAAGCATCTCCTGAAGCGGGAATGAGCAGCATACATCGGCGTTCAGAACGAAAAGCCGCTTAGGGTTCCCCTTGAGAATCGCATCTCGGAAGTGGTACAGTCCGCCGGCGGTTCCTAAAGCTGTGTACTCGCGCAGGTAGGAGATCTTGAAGCCAGGGAACTCGGTCGCCCATTGACGAATGTATGGCGCGAAGACAGTCTCGTCATAGTAGCCGATGAGGATGACCTCCTTGATAGACGGGACTTTGGCGATGGCCGTCAGAGGGTGGTGAATCAGACTGTGACCGGCAACCTCAAAGAGGGGCTATGGGACGAGCGTTAGAGCTACGGGAATCATCGGAAATTCGGCGAGACGGGCGATACCTTGGGGAGGTCGAGCGAAAGGGGCCTGAATCGTGTGCCTCGCGATGGACCACCGACCTGAAAAGTGTTTTTTGTTAGCTCCAGGAAGCTCCCCTGAGTCCATCAAGGTAGCCAGCTGGCATCAGGAGCTACCCACCAAAATCACAGCTTTGTTCATTGTGGAGTTGAGAGGTGGTATTTGTGATGACGATTGAGGGGATACGATGGGATACGATGGGTGGCGGTGGGTGAGAAGTGAAAATATTGGTGGAGATGAAGCTGTCCGTCGCAGAGGGGCCGGTTGGGTGGGAGAGGAGCACGGTGACCAACGGAGACCAGGGACCAGGTAAACCTCTAATGGAGACGGACATGGCGTGCATGGACCAACCACATCATCGCTGAACACGACAGGTCGTTGCGTATTTAGTGCCATGTCCAGCCCCACTCCAATATCAGTGGGGCTATTCCACGTGCACAAAAAAGTTTGGACTCTGCATCACCGCAAAACATCGTTGGACACACAAAAAATACAAAAGATTGATGACAGGAGTGGGACTTGAACCCACGCTCAGTTTCCCGAACCAGGAATCGATATTAAGGTAACCTTAACCTGGCGCCATAACCAACTCGGCCATCCTGCCTTTAATATGCATAAATAAAAAGCAAGTCTTTATCATCATATAATATTTTCTCCAGCATTGCCCGCAGCAACCACACATCCAATTCCTGCGGCTCTGTAATGATATGAGGTGTTCCAAACACTAATCATATGTCGTAAAAGTGTGACGGATGGGCGGACACTTTCCCAAAACCTACACTGCGCAGCCTTGGTGTTCTCACGAACTGTACTCCCTGTTTCCTGCATCAACCTCCAACTGGCGGCGCCTCCGATCAACGCCATGTCCCACCCAACCACCACTCCATCTGCCCGCAGCGTTTCCTCCGCTCTCTCATCGCTTCACTACCCGAGTCCTCACGGTTCCCCACCGGCCGGTCCAGTCCCTCGCCGTCGGTCGAACTGCGCATACCGTGGCAACCCTAATTTCCGCCCAGGCATCCCTGCAACGAACGGTGAAGCTCCGCGGCTGCTCCCCTTTTCATCTGTTAAACCCCGTCTTTTTCTTCAACAACCCCTCCTCGACTTTCGAACCCGGCGAAATCGATATCGCGTCCGCCTGAAGCCTTCTCCAATCGTCTGAATACACTGTGGTGTTGTTCATATCGTCGTTGTTGGGACGGAATCACGATCATTCTACCGGACCACCCTGCCCTTACTGCACCAGCCGCCGAAGAATCCCCAGAACCCCTCCACCAAGCATTGCGACTGCGACTACACGTCGATCTCTGGAAGTAGCGATAGCGGTGTCGTCGGGCTTGGCCACGACCGCCAGACTTCCGCTCTATTCTTGCCACCTCCGGCCTGTCAACCATGGACCGTGCTCCCTCGAAGCTCCGGAGATGCGGATTACTCCTCCGGAACATCTTCATTGCCATGGTGGCATACACCACCGTGGTTGGACTTGTCCACATTTTCCAGACCGGGTCTCTGTCGTTATCGGCGAAGCCTACTTCGCGGAAGACGCACGATATGACTGAAGAAAGTCTGTCCGGCGGCGTCAACTGGAAGTTACGGCCGGATACTGTCGTGAAGAAAATCAACGACGCATATCTGGGGCCGAGGCCAGATGTGGATACGTTCGCAAATTACGAAAAGTTGCTTGAGGGCTGCCGTGGATCGTATTTAGGTCTTGAGAAGATGCGCAACGTCTATAACTGTCTCGAGTATCTCGACCGCCAGCAGGGCGACTACCTCTTCATTCCCGAATCTCGACCTTCGGAGATCGACCCATACTATCCTGCCGTTTCCGATGCAGCACCTTCGACCGAAACATCCCAAGGCGAATGCTCAGGTCCTATTCAACTCTACCACACCTACTGGACTGGTCCCTCAACCTGGCGCGTCGAATTCTTTGTCAAAGGCTACCTCTACACCCAGAACCTGCCTTGTAGTCGACTTTACATCTGGCTGGAATCCGATACCAACCCCAAGGCGGTGGAGGACATGCGAAACGATCCTGGCTTCGCCCGTTTCATGCCCCTGGTCGAGCGTGGGGATATCGTACTCAAAGCATGGCACTTTCCCTCCAGAATCCCAATTCCTCGGGAAACCATTGAAGCAGACCCTCTCTACGCTCGCTATCTTACTAAGGATGGGAAACTTGCTCCCCTCCCCGCCGGTAAAGATGAACTCTACATCGGTGACGGTGTTGTTCTGACCAAAGATGGCTCCACCTGGATTGTTCTCACCGAACGACAAATGACCTTCCTTCCAGTCGCAGTCTCCGATGCAGTACGCTTCGTGGTCCTGCATATCTACGGTGGAATATATTTCGACATGGACGTCCTCATGCTCCGTGACATGCGTCCACTTGTGCTGCCCCCGGACCACAACTTCGCGGAACGCTGGGCTGTACACAGTCATCCCGGAGATTTCAACACCGCCGTCATGGCGCTCACCGCGAACTCATCAATCTCGTCTTACCTCGTCCGCGGAGGTGTTCGAATGGGACTGAACTTTCACCCACGCATCATCGGTCGGATGGCATGGAAAGACGGCAGGGTTGAGGAATTCACCATGTTTGAAACCGGCTTGTTCGATCCCATCTGGGGAGAGTTTAACTGGGGAAGAGAAGGAAGATGCACTGTGCCGTGTTTCAAGGACTACGGAGTCGCCTTCTTGGGTACAAAGGGTGCTATCAAAGATGAGTGGCAGTCGTATGACGGTAAACCATTGGAACTAAAGCCGGAGTTTGAACACACTGGAAGTGAACTGCGACGACGAGGATCGACAGAGAAAGATAAGGAGGATCCAGAACCCGAGTTGGTGTTGGAGTCGGAATATGATTCACCATTCCATGTGGCTGTAGAGCAGACATCGACGGTGGATACAACATACGGTGGGAAACGTTACGTCCTCTCGGAAGATCAATACCCACCCAATAACCGCACCCTGGAAAACTTCTTCAGAGGTGCCTGGACATACCACATTCACAACCAGGTACGTATACGTCACGGATTCCCCTATCGTAATAACATGTCGGCTAACCATAGATAGTGGCTCAAACACCCACAACCTAACTCCTGGTTCCATGTCATCCAACGCGCTCATGACGGTTTCTTCGCTGGCGAACGCTCAAACCCGTATGGTGAGAAATGGACCGGCCCCAAGATTGCGACATATCAGAGATGGCCAGAGTTCGATTAACCCTCAGTTTTGAGGACCTTGTCAACTCTCCGAAGTTGACCTTTGTGATCGCAGCAGGATGTTGTAATGAGTAACGACACAAATTAATGATCTGAAAGGCTAGCCTAGTTTTTGTGGTGGTTTAACTGTTCCATTTTTCTTTCTTTCTGTCGCCATTGTTAAGCTAGGGAGAGCATAGTGTTTTCGAGCGCTGTTTCAGTGGGTTTCAGTGGTGCTGCGCTGATGGAGGACTTCGGTATGGGGTTTCTTGTGGTTTTCTTATTGTTGGAGTTTTGATTGTGGGGTTTTCACTACTGCTACTACTGCTACTGGTACATGGAGTTTGTTCTGCGTTGTTATATACTACTAGTTCTATGTGGATGTTGGGATATCAGTTTGTCGATTTAGTTACAAAGTATATGCTTGGGAGTGGGACAATACAATACGAGGCTGGAAGTTGCTGCTAGGCGGAGTACTTGACACGAGTTGATTGATGTGTGTGCTGTGGAGTGATGTTTATGGGAGCAACACAGGACGCCTCTGGACGCAACTTTGCCACAGAGAAAGTAGCAATGGAAAAGAGAAAGCATACAGCATACCTTGGAACTCACTCACCAGCTGACACGTCTTTATCTTCTCTACGCAAAATCCCGAACTCGAGCGTTGACATGGTGTGACCATGCTGCTTGTGGGGAGTGATGGTCGATGAATCACTGGTCCCTGACATTGTCATCCCTGGCAGCGTCTTGTCCCACATACAGTACAGAGAGCGCGCTTGCTCACAACAGCTCCCGCTCCGCCCGCTGCTCCCACTCCTCCCCCCACCTCCACCTCATCCCACAACTCCTCCATCCACCGGACGCCCACTCTTTGACACCATCTAAACCACACATCTATCTTGCTGCTGTAACCCACTCATCGTCCCACGCCTGTCCAGGCTGTGACAAATCACCACCAAGTCATGCCAGGAACCACCACGCATGGCCGCCGCTCGACAACCAGCTCTTCGAGCACCATCTCCGACATCTCGCTCTGCCCCTCCAACGCTCCTCCCATCATTCGAAATAACACAATCTCCCTCCACGATACCAAGCGCCTGCTCTCCGCTGTTGAAGATGCCAGGAAACGGAAGTTCCAATCCTTGGTTCGGAGGTAAGAGCTAACCTGTCACCTCCGAAGCTGCTTGTTGTTTTTCTTCCTTATCGGTAGCTGACTGTCGAGGATTCAGATACATGAACCAGCTATTGTACGGCTGTCAACGCGCTGAATGCGACACTCCTACCTGCTACACATGGCGTAAGCGGCAATCTCAACAGCGAAGGTTCACCGTCTTGTCCGCCCGTATTATTGCCTGTATGCTTGCCAGCCAGGATGATCCATTTCAGGCACTTTGCCCCGGAAAACCAGTGGTGCAGACTCTCGATTCCGATAAGCAGGCCTTGACAGACGTTACCACTGGAGAGGCTAAGAACAGAAGGGCGAAGAAACGGACAGTGCCGGCAGCCACGGACAAGGGTTTAAAGGATCCAAAGAGCTTTACCCAGCAATTGTTTAGCACAATGACCCTAAGAATGGTGGAATGGATTGGATTACCGCCACTGCTGACAACATCTCAGCAAAGCCATATCGACTCCGAGCCACAAGAACCACCGAGACTCAGGTTTGGAAATGAGGCAATGGATGTGATGGATACTGGTCGGATGACGCAAGATTCAGAGGCCGTAACGCAGGCTTTACATCAAGAGATTCTTCAGCAGCAGCCTAAGAGGCGAGGTTTCCCGGGTTTGAGAGATGTGACGCCGACCGGGCATGCGAATCATAAGATGAGGATCTCGACCTCAGGGCTTTTCGACACACCTTCACAGTCATTGCCTTTTCCGCCTAGTCGTCCCGAGCACCGGGGCCGTAATAGACGAAATTCTACTCCGCTCACTCAGGTGACTCCCACACATCGTAGTGATAAGGAAACGCATGTTATGATGGATTCAACTGCTTCGGAGGAACCTGTAGTACAGCAGACTCTGAAGTCAATGAGCGCAGCTATTGCTTTCGAACTGAAGGGTCTTGTCGAAAACTCGCCAGAACCTGAAAAGGGTAACGCAGCAGCCTTCGTACGGCAAAGCCTATTCTACACGTTTTCGACCCCTTCCATATTGATAAACTCCTTTGCCCAGCCTGGTGGAATGCAAGACACAACTGATGTTAATGTGGACCCTGAATCCATCGATAAATGCCTTCAAGTGTTGTTTGAGAAGGAGAAGTGGAAGGGCCTAGTGGTACAAAGCATGTGGCGGGGGGTAGGGAACGTGTTTACGGAGACAGGAAAAGGATTATCACCGCAAGATGCTGCAACAGTGATCATAATAGGCCTGCATGTTCTGGCGAATTGTCTCATCGCCGACGAAGATGTTTTTTCCCAGGTTTCATTACTTCGGGCATCTGGAACAGTTTCGGCATCTCGAAATGAAGTGGCGCCAGACATAGGGCTGGATGATGAGATGGGGCAGCGGCTGATGAGGCGTATATTGCGCGCTCTGGATTTTCGATTTACCGATATTCAGTCACCGAAAACCGCCGAACATGTTCAGAGATATCTCACTTGGTGTTTTGAGAGGGAAAGAGCTCGTAACCTGGTCATAGATCCCCAATCCGGCCTCCCTATCTCTTTGGGTGCCATACCAGCGGACCAATCACGCTCGCTGTCTCGCTGTACACTGGAATGGACTCGCACTGTTTTTATGCAAAACTGGAACGGATCTTGTTATATCCGCCGAAATAGCATTGCCGGCTCCTGTGTGGCTATGTTTCAACTTCTCTTGGAATCCAATACCATTGACCGGACCTTATTCCACACTAGAGCGGTTGGTGCACGGATAGACCCCATCATCAAACCGGCGGACTGGTTCTTCTCAACCCCCAGCAAGAGACTCCCGGGCTATATTCATCTTATGGATTATCCGTACCTGATCCCGCTCGAGACCACCGTCGCATTTTTCCGATCGATTAACATCGACCTTATGAAAAAGGCATACGAGGAAGCGCATATCGCCCATCGTCTCGCGGTTCAAATGTCTAGAATCACGGGCTATCGAGAGCTTGATCTTGTACGGAAACCTCAGTTGACGATTTCCATGACGGCTTACCTAATGGTTTTGGTCCGCCGACACCACTTGATTGAAGATGCTTTGAATACTTTCCTCTATCGCGAGCCCATAGAGTTTTCGCGTCCAATGAAGGTCAAATTTTTAGATGGCGAAATCGGTTTAGATCATGGTGGCGTTCAGCAAGAGTTTTTCGGGGCAGTGACGGAAGAGCTACTCAATCCGGATTATGGAATGTTCACAACCAACGAACGGACGCACGTATCTTGGTTTTCCGTGGCACCACTTGAGGGGATGCAGAAGTACGAGTTGTTTGGAATCATTGTCGGTTTGGCAGTCTACAATGGCGTCACTTTGAGAATGCATTTTCCGAAAGCACTTTACATGAAGCTCCTCGGCTTGGAAGTTGGACTCGAAGACATCGCGGATGGTTGGCCAGAACGATACCGTGGCTTCAAACAGCTACTGAACTGGTCCGATGGTGATGTTAGTGCCTTCACCCTCTCGTATGTTTACGAGTACTGTGTTTTTGGACACCTTCGCTCCATCAACATGTTAGCGGCAAAGGAGAGAGGTTTGGAGTTTTTGGACTTACAGATTCCAAAGCTCAAACAGAAGGCTCGCGCTCGCCGTAAGTCGGTGCGCAATGAGAGAACGCAGCGCTCAACCCCAAACCCCTTTTCACTGGATGTGGGTTCAGATAATTGGCTCCCGCTACCTGATCGGGACTCCTGGCTGGGTGAAGGATTGAACGAAGCAATGGATCAGATCATGAGAGAGGCGTCGGAAAATGTTCGCCCTGATGTGCCCAGATACACTCTTAGTATCAGAGATCTGTCGGAAGTTTTAGCAGAGCAAGATGACAGCGAACATGGCAGCGGCGAGAGTGATGAACACACTACTGAATCCCCCGATAATGATTCTCCTCTCCACACACGCCAGGTCAGCTTTTTACAGGACGACACTGTATCACAAGTCCCGTCTCCGGAGGATTACACGGCCCCCTCGTCTCCATCTAACGTTAGTAACGCCTCTTCCGTCTCCCGACGCACGCACGCCTTTTCCAGTGCTGCAACGATGGGTTCAACCTGCTCCGAAGGGCGCACTCTCTCTCCCTCCCCTTCGTCGTCACATCAATCGGAAGACGAAAATGACGAGGACACCAATCCACCAGATACGATCATTATTTCTGAAGACACCGAAGACGCACCACAGGTCACCAACGAGAACCGTGAAGACTATGTGCGCGACTACATCTCTTGGATCACCGAACGTTCCATTCGCCGTCAATATGAGGCTTTTGAACGCGGCTTTTTCTCTGTCTGCTCCCGCCGTGCTATCTCCCTCTTCAGCCCTTCTGGACTCAAAGCTCTCGTCGAAGGCGATCAATCTGCTTTCATAGACGTCGATGAGCTTGAGGCTGTTTTTACCTATGAAGACGGGTACTCTCCAGAGGATCGCGTGATTAAATATTTCTGGGAGGTCGTCAGAGAATTCACGGAAGAACAGAAAACACAGCTTCTGGAGTTTATCACCAGCAGCCCGAGAGTCCCGGTGGGAGGAGTACAGAAGTTGAAGATTTGTATTGGGAAAATGGGAGATCCCGAGCACTTGCCAAGTAGCTTTACGTGTTTTGGTAAACTGAAGCTGCCCGAGTATGAGAGCAAGGAACAGTTGAGGGAGAAGTTACTTATTGCAATCCAACATACGCTGGGCTTTGGGGCGATGTGAGAGGGGGTGTGGCTGTCAATTCCTGTTTGTGGACATCTTGCGCTGTATTTTCATTTGTACCGGGGGTCGCTGATTGTGTTTGTTGGGTTTTTTCTTTTTACTTTGGTGTTTCTGTGTTATTTGACTCTTTTGTTCTCTTCGGCGCACAAGTATGTATTATTGGATGTGTTTCTGGTTTGGGCGATCAGATAGGGTTTCTGCGGCGCTGGATGGAGTTTGGTTTTTATCGTGTCTGTCAGAGGTCAAGGTGTGTTGATGATGACGGCTTTTCGAGACACGATTCTTGCGATTTGATTTTGTTGGATGATGGAGGAAGACTATCCATAGATTGAGTTGAGATTTGGTTCACTTTATTGGGTTCGGTGGTACTGTAACTTGACGTTGCTTTACCTATTATACCCTTTTGTACGATAGGTAGATAAGGAATTAATGGAATTAATGGTTGGTTTGTTACTTGCACCAAAGTAGAGTACTATCATCGCATCATTTCTTCCTGCCGTCAACCATCCCATCCAGATCTTCATAACCGCAATTGATTGAATCTTCTATTATCGCATATTGGATTATTCTGAAATGTCACCATCGTAATACGGCAGGATGGCCGAGTTGGTTATGGCGCCAGGTTAAGGCTACCTTAATATCGATTAGCTTCGAAATCCTGGTTCGGGAAACTGAGCGTGGGTTCAAGTCCCACTCCTGTCATCAATCTTTTTTGTTTTTAGAGAGGTTTAGTTGTTATGGATTGCGGTTTTGAAGATGCGTGTGGGATCTAGCGTATGAGGATGTCGACGATGTTTCAGGAGAGTTGGTTGTCAACTGCTGCGAGTGGTGATGTCGGAAGGTTGGTTTAGATCTGTGGTACAAATTGTCACTCGTATCTCAACTTCCACCAACAACCAACCCCTGTCCGTTAGTTATGCGTCGCCCAAGCGTCCACCACGACCTCCCTCACTCCCTCCCAAACCGATACCCGCGCATCTTCCCGTCCTCGTCGCATCTCACCTTTCCCGGCGCCTCCAATGCGTGTCCTCGCAGAATTTCCCGCCTCGACGTTGTCCCTCCTCCTCCTATCCTCCCTCACCATATCAACATCCGCGACTGCGCAGCCATATTCAGCGCCAGAGCGACTACACTTCAACCCGGATTCCCAATCTCCGTCGTCATACTCTCCAGGCCAAATATTCCGGAGAGCAGGCGGCCAGAAATACGAGTGCAATCCGGGGACGTTTTCGTGCAGGGATATTGGGTTTGCGCAGCTGTGTTGTAACGATGGTTAGCTACTCTTGAATCTACATTGCTCTTTGTTTTCTAGAGTAAAATGACTAATCAACTCTCCCAGGCGAAACTTGCCACCGCATCGACGACATCGGCTTCGGCTCCGTCGGCTGCTGCCCCAAAGACACCACCTGCACTGGCAACCTCTCTGGCTGCGGCGACGACAAAGTCTCCTGCCTCAAAACCATTGGCGGCGGCTGCTGCAACAAAGGCTCCATGTGCACGCGCTACGGGTGTATCGTCGACCCTGCGCTGGGTGAGGAAATCGGCACAGAGGCGGAACCATCTATGGCCCCGACGGGCGCGGGAATCGGAGCTGGAGGGGCGGGCGTGATGACGGAGACGGTGGTCCCTACGAAGACGGTCACGGTGGAGGGGAACGAGGAAACGAGTCTGTGTGATGAGGGGTATAGGGCGTGTGCGGTTGCGGCGGGGGGGGGGTGTTGCCCTGAGGGGTATGAGTGTGGGATAAAGAGTTGTCCGGCCAAGGTAACGTTGGTGGCGACGGTGGTGGATGGGGTGCTCGTTACGCAGGTGCTCCAGATGCCGGCGGAGACGAAGAGGAGTCAGAATGTTTTTGTGCCTGTGACGGGGAGTGATGTTGGGGGCGTGAGGGTGGGATGGGGGGTGTTGATGACGGTTCTGGTGGGGATGGTGGTGGGAGGGGCTTGGGTGTTGTAGATGCGTGGTCTGTGGTCTGGGTGAGGTGCTATGACACCATGTTATGAGATGATGAGTTTCTTGGATTTGGGCTGTATTATACCAGGCGATGATGGTAGATAATGTGCGATGTTTTACGTAGTTATAGCAACTAGAGTAGTAATGAATACCCACTCCCTTGGGAGCCCTAATTACCGACAACCCTCATCAAGTTCTGATTTAAATCTGACATTCTACAAATTCGGATCAATCCAAACATACCTACTACTCGTTTTATAGTACACCTCGACTCCATCCACCCTTCTCTGTACACCGATAAAATATGCCCTGCATCCACCTCATACGCCTACTCCCCGCATCATCAGCTTTCATCCACAACCGCACAAGCACCGTGATGAAATCATACTCATCATATTTCACCTGCCGCAAATGTGGCCGGTTTCTATTGAAATATCCCACTAGTGAACATTTCATCAGCCACATTCTCTCCATCCCTCCCCCGCCCCATTCTTCCCATACACATCACCGTAATTACATACCTTCCAACCTCCCCATCCTCCCCATCAACATCCCCGAAAAACTCCCAGGGTCAAGCATCCACTCCGAATACTCAATACTCAGCCCCGACCACGCAACCGCTTCCTTGCATTACGGCACAGAATTCCGGGATGCGTTGTGCGATACGGGAGATTTTGATCAGGGCCTCAGATTGGTGGCAGTGGACGGTCAATTCTTTGGCGGTTGTGGAGACTTCGCCGTCGGCTGAGGAGGATGAAGAGGAGAGGGGGAGGGGAGGGGTGTCAATGATGGTTACGGGTTCTGGTGAGGGCGGTGAGGACTCCGAGGAGGAGGAGAGGGAGCTGCTGAGGGTTATGGGGGGGTGGAGGAGGAGAAGGAGGGAAAGGAGGAGTAATATCCGGGTGTAATGAAGCATGATGTTTGGTTAGAAACAGAAAAGATGAAAAGATCGGAGGAGGAGAAATATGGGCTTTTATGGTATCCATACTGTATTTTCTTCGACTCAATTCGAATGAAGTGCGGTTGAAGAATCCAATGATGAGCTGGCGTACTTCACGTACTTCTCGTAGAGTACATGTAAAGCGGAAACTCGCAATCTTGGATAATGGGGTCACTCAAATCCTTCTTGGGAATGTGTATTCTTAGACTCCCTCTTAATCGAACTCGCTTGCATTTTCCGACACAAGGATGTAAGTTGCTCCATAAAAGTTGAAAAAAAAAAAGAGTAATAAATCATAGTGGGCGGCAAAGACTTGGTTAAAGGAGCTCATATTGTGTTGTACACGCTGACTACAGCTCGAGAGAGTTGCTGGGAAGAGAAGGTTGGAATCAGTGGAGGGGATTTGGTGTTGGTCCAGGCTTGGTTGTAGTACCATGGTATTGTGGCCCCCACCAAGAAATATTTCAAAAAAGTATAGGAAACCTCTCCCCCAGATCCTCTCTTAGACCTCTCCACTCTCGAATGAAAATATGACTGGATATAGTTCCAGCTGTCATCATTCGTTATACCCATACTGGATATGGTCTGATATTTGGCTATAACATCTCCCCGAGCGTGATCTGGATACTTTGGGCGCAAGGCCAAATTCCATACCACCTCTGTCGGGGTCAATGTGACCTCCGTTGACAATTCCTCCACTCCACTTTTGCGTCTAGATCCAGATAGACGAAGTCAGGTATCTAACTATTCTAGTGGGGGGCGTTTTCAAGATTAGAGCGGCATGGGTCCCCGTCCGCCTGGTTCGCGGAACCGTTGTTCCAGAATACAGACGTTTGGTTTCGGAATGAGCCCAAAGCATATTGTTTCCATGATTCATAGAATGGATGGTTAGGTTATGGACTGTGGGTTGTTGACGATTCCATGCGATGACACGCGTACGGGGCTGAGTGTTATTTGGGGAGAGGGAAGCTCGGTTCTCCTGAATCTCGATGGTATAATACAACGGTCCGCCGAAGTACATCGAGCTAGCACTGCTCGATTCATGGTGAAGCATCAAAATGGCAAGGCATGGAGTGTAGGGCGTCCCGCAGCAATGGAGACGGCTTGTGGAGAAGAGATTAAGCGTCGCAATCGGGTAGAAGAGTGGGTCATCGGGTCTTAGGAGTGGTTAACCAGTTGACAAATTGAAATGATGGAGGACGGAGAGCAAAAACTGATGTCAATGTCACCTGGTCGCCACGTGAATGAGTGACATAACATGTGGCCCCGCAGAAGTGGATACAGCTTGTCAAGGAGGACTTTAATCTTTGTAGCGAGGGGTAGAGTAGAGTTAGCGAAATTGCGGAGTAGGGTGACAGACTGGGGGAGTCAAGGGATGGGAGAAAAAAACCGCCGAAATCGGTCACCATCAGTGAATGTGCGAGTGACATGACATGCATGTAATTAGCGGCATGAACAACTTTCGTCTCATCGTCGGTTGGCAACCACGAACGTCCACCTCTCATTACAACTTTTTCCGCCTTTGAATCAAGCATAAGTGTTCCCCAGAACCTCCGCAAGTGCCCGAGAGAGCTCACCTCAGAAACACATCCCCCGCTGACTTCACTCGTTTAGGCCAGCGACAAGGCTTGAAATCCTTTCGGCTATGGATCGTCAGTTTCGTTGGTTGAGCCGATATCAACTGGTTTATGAGTCGCCAACGATGGCATGAAGATATCCAGCGGAAACTATAATTTTGAGTACCAGTCTCCTTGCCTGAAGTCAATGTGCTAATCAAGGTTGATAGGGAGTTCGTCCGCTTTCAATTCAGGGACCATGCCGAGATGGTTTGGACGAAGTCTGACGGATGTAACGTGATGTACTACCTGGAGTGTCAGAATTTGGGGCTAAATTCGAGATTAGGATCGATTTATCTACCGCATTAGCACACCTGTTTCTTCATTGGCATGATTTATCGGTACATCGCCGGTTTAACGTTGAACCGCTGTGCTGCCCGGCAACGGTGGATGGACAAGTTCACGAACCGTGATTTCCGGTGATCCGGCGCAATACAAATGAAGCGACCTCATTGCTTTTTGCAACTCACAGAAGTCAAGATGCAGCCACAGCCGGAGGCAGTTAAAAACCACATAGGGGTAGACTTTCGGAAACACCGACCTTTCCACTGTGGAACATATATCCGCTCCGATGTTATGGAGTGGAAGCAGTTTCGACAGAGGCTCGAGGAAGTACTCTACAATCCTGCAAGTTTTACCGTATCACTCTGGGAATTGTTAGCCTGAAACGACGAATCTTGAGGAAATACGTTTTCTTAGGGATCAAGGAAGTAAGTAGTCGAAGCTCTCGTACGATGGATGCTGGAACATCGCGTCGCAAACAATATTTACGCGCAGAGCGTGTCGGTGGGGTTGACGCGTGAACATGTGTTTGGTGCAGGTTCCGTCAAAACCCGCCCCCACCCGCGTCTGGAATCTGCGTTGGTCATCCATGGACAGCGATTATTATTAGGCCTGGATGTCTACTTCAGAGAGGGAAATTCTACTCCAAATACTAGATATTGGGTAGAACGTCGTTGCTGACAAACCAGTTCCAGATCGGCTTCATGATTCGATACATTCCAAGATTTCTACTTCCTTTCAGCCTTGCCGATGCAGGTGATGTAACCTCACGTTAAGGGTGTATGCTACTGGGTGAGTCATGAGTACAGTACTCTACATTGTCACCGGCAATGAACTCTCGACCCCTTCTTCTAACGGGAGGAATAACGGTAATTCTAACTTGTATAATTTCAAAATTCTATTCCTAACCA